TGTAACTCACTATCATTTGTCTATTTGCTTTCCTGAGAAACTATCTTATAGATAACAATATGTAAAACAATAGCCATTGATAATTTCCTACCACTCTGTCTATAATTTGGTAAGCCCCTCCTATTATTATGTTATCCTTCTTATACTCTTTAAAATAAAAAAAAATGAATTGGACTTTTCATATTAAATTACACTTACCGCTCTCCCTTTTTGAGACAGGGTCTTGCTATATAGTTCAGGCTGGCCTTGAACTTACTATGTAGCTCAGGCTGGCCTTCACTGGAAACAATTCTTCTGCCTCAGCCTATCTAGTTCTGGAATTACTGGTGTGCCTCATCAGGCCCCACACTGGTCTTTTGATATTACACTGGAATGTAGATTGAAGTAAAAAGAACAAACAAGGCTTTGTATATATACTCATATAAAATGGTTGGCAAGATACATGGAGTGAAAAACCTAAACAGCAGCACAATGTGAGTTTGAATGCCGCCATTTTTATTTTTAAAATGATATTCCTGCTTGGTGAGGATAAATGACTTCTGCAAGGATTCGTGAAAATCTTCTTGGTTGCCTCTGAGAAAAAGAGACAGATGTTGGGTGCAGAGATGGGAGGAATACTGCTTTTCATTGTATAATGTTTTTTATCTATTGAATTTTGTGTTGTAGCTATGATGTGCGATTGAAAAACATGGAGTTTAAAATTAAAAAAAAAATTACAGCAAAAGACACATTGCCATTAATCCCCCTCAAAAGTTCTCCTCCTGGCTTTAACACACTTGTCCTATCATTCTTGTTGCTTTCTACAGATGTTCTGCAAGGTGTCTTTTGTGGGTGTCTTTAGTTGTGCTCTGCCTCTATGTTCGCAGTGGTTCAAAACATTTACCGGTCACAGTCATTTTGACCTTGGGAAAGAGTCAGAAGTTGTATGGCGCCAGATTCAGTAAATAAGGTGGGCGAGGACCTACTGTAATGCTCTTGATCTTACCAAAGGGCTGAGAAGTGATGGACCTACTGTAATGTTCTTATGAGTCTGACTTTCTGTATTGGCAGCAACATTCACAGCACTTTTAAAATCATTCTTCATAAAGACGCTCACAAAAGACTTCCCGAACTGCCTCAGACAGCGGCAGGAATAATGGAGTAAGTGCATTCAGAATGAGGGGCAGCACTGTGAGGAAGACAGTGACAGTGTATCTTTTACTGTAGTAAAATATTTAAAAATTTAAACATTTGCCCTGCTTTGAATCATCACTTATATGTAGTACCATTTAAAATAAATATATTTAGGTCACTTTAAGAAATGTATTTCTTGGAAAAATATTGCTATTTCTTAGCATTTCATCATAAAATCTCCCTATATGGCCCCTCTGCACTTGTGGCTTTGAGAGGAACCTTAATGGTGACACCCGAGCCAGCGTGTACCTGTCATCCCAGGCTCCTGGGGAGCTGAGGCTTCAGAAGGAGCGCTTGGGCTCATGAGTTTGAGATCAGCCTAGGCAACATAGTAAGAGCCTACCTTAAAAATAAACAAATGCATACACACTGAAGTGCTAAATACTCCCACATGTTTATATTCTTTCTTTCGAGTTCCAAACTAGCCTGTCTCAAGGCTTACCTGGATATCTTATAGACATTTCAAAAATAGAAACAAGCAGCACATCCTCACTCTCACCCTTCCTTCATAAACCTCTCCCCTCCTGCATTCCTTCTCAGCAAATTGCCTCTGTGTTCAGGCTGCCTGTCTTGTAATTATTCTAGGCACTTCCCATCTGCTCTGCGTCTTTAACCCATCACTGAGTCCTACTGTCTGTCTCATTTGCGTACAGTCTGTTCTTCGCCCTGATTTCCCAATATGACCACTTTAGTCCAAGCTGCTGTCTCCACACCTCCTGCCCAACCTTTGTCAATGTCTTTCCCTTAAAAGTTATTAAAAGCCCCCTAGTTCAAAGTAGATCCTCCTACTATTCTGTAAGAAAAAAATCTGCTTTTTCTTTGTAGCTTATTAAGTTTATACGGCATATTCTCATTTGTAATCATCTGTATATATTCTTTTCTGCTGGGTTATAAATTCAATGGGAGTAGAGACTGAGCCCATGTTTTTTCAGGTTCCCGTGTCTACAAGCTAGCACACTGTGGGCATGATGAATAGGGTCCCTAAGTGATCTTCAAATGAATGGACAAGCTAGTGTCTGAGTGAGCAGTACCAATAAGGCATTGTGCTAGGGACCTTTCTTAGGGACAGAAAACCTCCTCTAAAATTGTTCTTTGCTAGATGGATGTGGCGATGGATTACTATAATCCTGGCACTCTGGAGGCTGAGGCAGAAAAATCATGTGAGCTCACCCTGAGGCATATAGAGTTTCAGGCCAGCCTGCACTACAGATCAAGACCCTGGTTCAAAAACAAAAAAACAAACAAGAGAACTGTTATTTACTTCCAGGCACAAAAAGATCCAAAATGTGTATAAGAGGATATTTTCATGTGTGACCAGAGGAAATTTGTTTGCTAGGACAGCAGAGGGTGTCTCACTGAAGGAATATATAATAAAAGAAAATGTTTCCCACCACAGGGATTTCCCACCACAGATTTTTCTGATCTGCAAAATCAGATATGTGAAGTAGGTGATTTGCCATAATTATAGGCTTCAATTCAGAATTATTCGCAGAGCCTGCCCTACAACAAGGCAATCTCCTAGATCAGGCATCCCCAACCTGGGCTAAGATCTGTGTGGCCTGTTAGACCACACAATCAGAAAGGAACTGTGGGTGAAGGGGTGAAGCTTCATCTGTATTTACAGCTACTCCTCATAGCTGGCATTACCACCCAAACTCTGCCTCCTGTCAGATCAGCTCAGGATTAGATCCTCACAGGAGAACCCTACCATGAACTGTGCATGCCAGGGATCTAGGTCCCCCACTACCCATGGAAAGATTGTGTTCCACGAAGCCAGTCCCTAGCACTGAAAGGGTGGGGGCCGAGGGCCTAGATCCTTCGCCTTAGGTGTAGCAAAACACATACGATGCCTGGGTACTGGAAACAAGCATGTCTGCAGGGACAAGCAGAGGGCAAATAGTAGATGCCCTTCAATTCTGGATAAGCCACCATGAGGCCCCAGCCACTGAGACACTGACCCTGCCACCTCCACCACCTGAGCATCTCCAACTCTCCATGAGACTATAAGAATGACTTATTCTTGGAATCAAATGAAATACTAATTAAATAAGCAATAATAAACCATCTTTATTAAATAACAAGCAAGTAGTGTACATAGATACAGTCACTGGTCAGTTGCCATGAACCCTTCCCCTCCCTGTGGAAGAGAACACCGTGACGAGGTGCAACCTGAGCAGCAGCCCTTTGAATGCCCTGTAACAAAGTAAAGATGACCAGCGGGATACACAGCTCACACTCGAGTTCTGTCATCTCACACACAGGAGGAAACTAACCGCTTCAGTTCGGAGAGACTTCAGCGGAAAGTTGACAGCGTTGTTGAAAATGCCCATATGGCACCTTCCGTACATCTTCCTAGCAATTAAACCAGCTGTTACTCTTCAAAGTATGTGTCACTTTCTTTGCATTTGGGTCGAACTCCAGCTGTGAAGACCCACTGAAGAAATAGAAAAATCCTGCAAACACAGACAGGAGAACAAGTGAGATATGTTTTCCAAAGGAGAAATGCGGCAATGTGCAGAACTTAGGATGACAGAGAACTGAAAGCAGAAGGTCTGCATGGAGGTTTACTCTGTTCCAGGAATAGCATGAAGCACTGTATTAGATTTCATCTATTTTTTACTTATTTACATAAGTCTCACCCCATTTTACAGATGAGCAAGCTGAGGTTTAGACAGATGCAGATGCCCACCATGGTTACTCAACAAGGACAGAGGGAGAGAGTATTCTATGTCAGATCTGTCATAGATCTGATAGCAAAGCCAGATTCTGGGTTTTTAATTCTAATCAGAAAAAATTATTTGTTTAAACTCTATGATCTCTTTATTATTATTATTTTTATTTCTGATACTTCTCTCCTTTCACCACGCTGTAGCTGGAGGGCATTTCTGGCCCCCAGAGAAGTACAGCAACTCTTTCAAATCACCAGAGGATCCTCTGCTGCTCCACAAACCTGATGCCCAGGTTACCTTTCCATAAGGATCATCAATATTTACTTATTTATCTTTGACTAGGAAAAAAAATCTTTTCTTAAAAAAAATTCTGGGTAGATGGGAAGACAAGAACTGGTGATGAACACATGTGACCCATCACCGACTAACTCAGGAAAGACAGAAAATTTCCTGGGGAATTAGCAGTAGAAACAGGATTGGATGTGGGAGAAAGCTATTGGCTAGCACTGAACTTGACCACATCATCTCGTGGGATTTTGTTTGAGTGCACAGCTCAAGAAAGGTAACAGCGCAGCATGTAAAGAAGTAGCACCTGCGTGCTTGGGTTCAATATGTGGATATAAAATAGAGAGGCTTATGCTGATGATCTTTATGACTCAAAACAACTCAAGTAGTTGTTTTATCATATACAGTAGTCATATAATTGGCACAAAAAGTAGGAGAATTTAGATTTTGGTAGGGGGAAAAGAGGGAACTGAATTTTTATAACCCCATTATTAGAAAGTGTTCTCTTTCTTCATATACTGTAAAATATTTCAAGTGTCCCACTATGAACAGATTAAGCATCTTCTTACCAAATGCTTCGAAAGCAGCATCAACCTTTTCTACGCCTGGAAAGTCTTCATTTATCTTTCTGGGAAAGCCGGGCTCCATGGCTGCTTTCTGCTCATCAAATCTGTATCAAGTAAAACAAGTATGGCTCAGGATTGCAGAGAGGCCATTTGACCAAAATCCATAAATCATGGGGAAGCCTAGCAAATTTTTCACGTACTACAGATAGATACCAAACATACTTAGCACCACAGAAATATGTGGTTTCAATAGTGCTATTGACTTGGCTCTTAAAACCATATACCCATCGGGGGTGGGGCAACATCCTACTATAGAAATTGCTGCTTTTTATTATATTTGATGGTAGATAGAAAGAATCTTAACGTTCTGTAATAAAGGTGTGGAGGTGTGAACAGATGTGTGTGTGTGACAGAGTAAATTGAATCACATATGTGAAATACTGTTTCCAGTTCTCTACCATCACTGGCTTATGTATACTAGCCATCCCAGCATACACACTGAAGTTTTCTATGGCAGCCTCGTATAAAAGAAATTGGATGAGAAGAAAAGTCCAGCAGGTGGGTTAGTGGCCCCTTAGCGCACATTTGATGATCTGCTCTGACATCTCAATGTCTCAACAAATGGCCTGGCCATCAGCCTGTGTGCAAGTCCTGAGTGGTGTCCACAAAACAGGACGTGTCTGCTGTTGCTGGTCATTCCCTAAATGGGCAAAAGAAACCCTTGAAAATATACACTTATGTTAGAAGACAAGGCAAACACATAATGAGACAGTGAGTGAACGCTAGGGCACAGGAAAAGGAAAGCTAAACGGTGGCCTAGGTTCCCAGGCAATTGTTCAAAGAAAGAAAAATGCATACGAGGCTTCAAGTTCAAAAGGGAAGGCTTCATGGAGGTGGTGGGCTTGAGCCCGGAGTTGAAGAATGGTAGGTAGAAGAAGAGGGAATCGAAGTACTAGTCTATTTCCCTTGGGATTTAACACAAGCATAATTAAAGAATGCCAATGACAAGGTGCTTCTGTGATTCAAAGTAAGCAATTCCCCACAGTCCCTAAGCCCCCAACTTCCTATTAAGAGGAAAGTGGGGTAGGGTAGGTGGATTTTCTTAAGGAAAGAAAATTATTTCCTTAATTAGGCTCCAAACAAAGTCCCTCCTATTGCCTCATACCTCCAGTATTGGTCCTCCACAAAGAAGTACGTCTTCATCTTTTGCTTAATAGACATGGCAGCATCGATTTTCTTTACGGTTGCAGGGAAGCCCAATGTGTAGATGCTTCTTGGGGAACCTGCTTGCACCTCTGGTCCTCTGATGGTCCAGAACTGATTTCCTGTTTTAAAAAACATTCACAGTTATAGTAAAATTATAACAGTTAAACCTTTTAGTTTTAGAAATGCATTTCCGCACCTTTGATTTTCATGGTGAGGAGGAGGTCTGAATTTTAGACTTAGCAGCTCCACACTGAGCCTTAAAAACAATTTGCTTATAGAAAGAATGAACAAAGATGAAGTAGGGAATTTATAACTGGTTAATTTATCTTCCTGTTTAGCATTTAACCTGTAAAAATATAAATAAATGCATACCACCCCTAGTCATTTCCTCATCTCCACTGGCTACCTTAGTAGCCAAAATTTGTCATAATAGAGAAAATTAGAATCCTGTTCAAGTTTTTTTGTTTGTTTGTTTGTCAGAGGATATGTTTAAGCAAGTTAAGGAAGAGTTTAGGGCTAGGAGTATAGCTCAGTGGTAGAGCATATTTCTGGTGCCAGTGAGGCTCTGGGTTTGATCCTCAACACAGCAAACAAACAAACAAACAAACAGAACCCTTTGAAGTCTTCACCTGAAATAATCTAAATGTCAAATAAAATTTTTTAAAAAATAATAATTACCTTTAAAAACAAAAACAGTGTCCTTGCTAATCACTTCATAAGCAGCGTCCACTCTGGAAGGAAGGGATGGCCAAAATGAAGAGATCAAATAAAACTCAGGTTCAAGGGTCCTGAGGGATTTGCGCCAAAAATGCCTGAAATATATGTAAAAAGAAGTATAAATTAAAACGATCTTTATATTCCTCACTTTTCTGCTTCACCTATCTTTTTCCCTTTCTTTTTCTTTTGTCTCCTAGGCTAGGTAACAGATAGAAATCAGATATATGTATATATCTTTCTTTTTTCTTCAGAAGACTGCAGTAGACCTCCTGCCACAGGTTTCCAGAGCAATGTCTCCTTTGAAAGGAAAGCTATTTTAACATTCAAGTTAATCACCCCATCATAAGCTTTCACTACCTGCAGGGCTTGCAAAACAGTGTATATTCTAGACTATCATTCATACTTTTCAAAAAGATAGTGTGTGTGTGCATATGTGTGTGTAATCTATTCTTGTGCACACATAGATCAATAATGGAGAAGTACACAAAAGATCTTTCTCATGGATGAATGGAAGATCTGGGGAATCAAAAATCTTAACTTTCCTTTGTTTGGTATCAATGTTTTATCATGTGTGTGTTATCCAGTAGTGAGGAAATTAATTGGTTAAATGGAAAGCTTATCCAGGTGTCACTTTGAAAAGAAGTAAAAAAAATATTGTTTTGATCCTAAAGATCTACTTGTACTTTTTGAAAATGTACTTAGGATGTTTGAGAACAGTCTGAGGAGAGGGATCAAATTATCCTGAGTCTTTAAAACAGAACTTAACTATTTTAGGAAAATGTAGAAAAGGTATCACTTTGCCTTAAATATTTAAAGATCTGTACCAAGTTTCTCTTTGTGTTTCTTTCTAAGCATTGTACATCACAAGAACAGATAGAGAAATGTAAGTGTGCAGTCTGACCTGTCTTTAAAGAACAGGACTTCTCCCCTCAGGGTGCTGACTGCGTCAAAGGACAAAGCAGGATCGCATGGGGCTGGGGTCGAAGGCTCCTGACGGCTGGACTGAATGGGCAGCTCAGGGTCAGCAGGAGAGGCAGGAGGAGGTCCTAAAGGCAAGAGATTAGAGAAGATAAAGCAGTAGGAAAAATGTGAGGCCTGTGTCAATTTACATGCTTCCCAGATCTTCTCAAAGTGGTTTGAATTATTTCACAAATATTTTATGCAGCATCACTGCAAGGCTACAACGTCTACTTTTTCCAAGCTCTCTCACCATAGAGGGACTGAATGCCATCCACGTCATCTTGAGAAAGGCGAAATCGAGTCAGGTCCGTGAAGGAGTTGTAGAGTGGGTACATCAAAGCCTTAGGGTTGGCCGAGTGGAAGAGACCCAGGGAGTGGCCAAGCTCATGAGCAGCGACCAGGAATAAATTGGTCCCTATTTAAGAAATCATAAGTTACTTACCCTGAATGATCATGTACAGTACACAGGGCAGTTGTATATTGTATATATTTACCTTTTTGACCCACACAGGGTTTCCCCCTTTATTGTTGAGTAATAAAAACAACTGAATGATTATGCACTTAAAGGAAAGCCAAGTATATCTCAAGACTCACACTTGAAATCAGTCTGTGAAATAAAGTACCTAGTCACATCCAGTTATCCCTCTCTCAGATGCCAAGAACTTCTTAACATCAGGACAAACAAGTCCCTTTCTCTGTGCTTAGAAATGGAATTAACCCTCCTGTCTAGAATTTAAAAATTTATCTCTTCATTTATTAATTAAAAGCTAGACAGTTTCATTGTATTGATATTTGTGAGTTGCCCTCTCATTTGAACAAATCAATGTATTCATCTCAATTCTGAAATCCTTGAACAACCATACTTCTGGTATTTTCTCTTGGAATATTGCCTGCATAATTTTTAGCCTCATCATAATTATTACTTGTGTTCTGAGTCCAAAAAAGATGAATAATGATAGATGTCATAGGATTTGCAAAACTGTTCTAAAACATAACATGCCTCATCACGTCCCACATTTGTCACAAAACAGATTTTGGACACACAAATCCTGGCTGTACTCAGATTTTTTTCTTTGTATTTCATATTTTTAAAACTCTATAATGCTAAAATTTGAAGGCATTGGGTAATGATGATTGACATAACAAGTAATCCACTTTATTTTTATAAATATTATGTATGCAAATTGTGACCCCGTGACTGTTACATTTGAGAGTATGGAAAGTTTCTTTTGCAAGATGTTAATCAAGCCAAGGATTTTAACCAGTATGAAATTCATATTTGATCTGTTTACATTTTTATCATAAATCCTAATTAAATCTCAAGAATAGTATTATTTGTTTCAGCAATTTTTGGGCAAAACTTTGGAAGTCATTTCCCAAGATTATAAACTGAGAAACATTCTTCTATCTAGACAGTGTGGACATTGTGTTCAGGGTTAGTCCCTTCTTTTACAAGTCTCCAAAAATCCTTCTTCACCTAGAGGAAGGAAAATTGTTGACTTAGCCAAAAAGAGAGGGAGGGTAGATTTTCAGTTTCTGGAATTCAAATCTCATTCCTTTTTCAAAAAAATAAAATAAATGGGCAGAATAAATAAGCTATATCAAGGTTCATTTTAGTTCAATACAGTGCAATATACTATTTTGTGGATATCTGCTGTTCAATATAATGAAAAAATGCTTTTAATAATTGTTGTTCTTAGATCACACAAGCTACATGATCATTAAGTAAATGACTGATGAATATAAACTTTTTAAGCATCTGAAAATGTGTTTAGTAATGATTAAAATATATATGTTTTGCTTATCCCTGGTCGACTGAAATGGACCATTTCTTGACCCTTTGTTTTGAAGTTTTCTAAATATAAAAGGCCGTGAGCGCTCACTGGTTCTGGCGATGCCTCATCACTAACCTGTTGTGTCCTTTGTCCAGAGCTCATCGTCATCAAAGTGAGCGTCTCCGTTAACCCCAGGCCCAGGAGCATAGGCGTGAGCCAGCACATTTCCGGGTCCATCAAAAGGGATAAAGTCTCCATGTTCTAAGAAGAAAAAAAAGCTAAATTGTGTTTTTGTTTGTTTGTTTGTTTTGTTTTGTTCCGGTACCGGGAATCGAACTCACGACGTCGTGCTTGCCAGGCAGGCACTGTGCCGCTGAGCTAAATCCCCAGCCCCTCAAAAACTAAATTGGATGATAAGGTTATTAGGCTCTTTTGCCTTCTCTAATAAAACAGCACCAGACAAATGGACGCATTTCAGGTGTCGTTGTTTTGCTCTGATTTGGATTTTACCTCTAACTGCAAAAGAGATCATTACGTCAGCCTCTCCTTCGTGTATCCTGGAGAACGTGAGCGGGGTCACCTCCTCCCAGACCTTGAGCGCTTTCTCAATGGCTGCATCAACAGCATCTCTTGGCAAATCCCGTGTGTAACTCACAATCCTGTACGAGAAAAATGAAGAAGGCAATATTTTCACCTGTGATATGGCTGATAAAATTTCAATATTGTTGAGACCTCTTTGGACCCATTACCTGTAAGTAAGGTGGGTTTTCCTCCACTTTGGCATGCCAGGAAAAGTGCTGAACGTGCCCACATCTGGAACTCCACACCTGGGCTTGCGTATGGCCTCTAAAGTGTCGGAATCCAGCTTCCCCGTCACCGCCAGCCCAAGGAACTTCTGCATTTCTTGGATCTTTTTAACAATAGGACCATTGCCCTGTCTTGTAACAGACTGTTTCATATCTTTTCCAAGGTTGTAGTAGTTTTCTAGGTATTGCTAATGGAATAAAAAGTATAATTTATAAATAATTCTTGTGACTTTTTAAATTCATTTACTTAAATTTCAAGGTCTATTTTAATTATTATCCAGTTTATTGAGACCAATAGGATAAGTACAGTTTTTAGGTCATTCTTATGAGTTTTAGTTATAGCTGTGTATAGAAAATCTTTGCAGTAGCTCACATTTCTTAATGTGTTTGAATTACTTGGTTACCTAGTTGAAATAATAAATGTCATATTTCATTTAATTGTTCAACTACAGACTCTTCCTCACCTTTACTTTGCCTTTATAGCTAAGACTCTCTGAGGCTTAGTTTGCCACAAAAGCAATGAAATGGAAAATTCAAATAAATATCCAGTGTCTTTAAAGGAAAAAATCAAAATGCACAGATAAATCTTTTTGAGTCTATTTCAGGTATGTGTATTCAATTTCCTCAAATTTCCAATTTATACTTTTCACAAGGATCTGGTTTTTTAAAAAAAGGTTTGGATAAATTCCTTTGTGTAAGCATGACATTTAGCACTATGAATATTTAGCTAAAGTTATATTGGATTAAAATACCAAAAAAAGTTCCAAAGTAAGACGTAGCGGATACATTCTTCACTCAATTGTGTGGCTCAAGCTACTGCTGCGGCAGCCCCGTGTGGCCTTGAGAAGACACCTAATGCTTTGGCTCTTTGTTTCCTCCTGTACATGAAAGGAGGAGGCTGAATGGTGTGATATCAAGGCCTCCTCACATCCAAAAGTTTATAACTGTCCCTGAATTATTTCTACGGAGTAGTTGGAACGCAGAGCTGGTTTTGTCCCTTGGCCCTGTCAACCAGTGTGATGGCCGCTTCCATTAATTACCTGAAGAAGCTCCATTCTGCTGTCGTCCCTCCTCACAGCTCCATTCAAGGGGTAGGCGGAGGACACTGTCACACACAGCCACAGCAGGACAGGAAGGCTCCACATTTCTCTGGCTTTCACAGCTCTGCACTGCCTTACCGCCTTGCTCTGTGCCTTCGTCCTTCTAGGTCAACCCTCAGCAGCCCCACTTTTATAGAGCGGTGTTTATTTAGATTACCCGCTGATTGACTCATCATTACTTTCATCCAAACAGCAGCAGGATCATTTCCAAAAGTCCCAGCTTCACATGATACAACCTACTTTACTAACTTCCCCCAACCTTCCCAATTTTGCAAGGCAAAAATGGTGACTAATCTCTGGGAAACGCTTCCTGGAGCAAAAGAGAAAACTGGGGCATTTTATGTTAGCAAAATTGGCTGTAATTCACTAGACAATTCCTGTTTATGCATTTGAGAAGAAATGTGAATTGACTTGGTAAAAAGTTAGAATTATACAGAACTTTAAAAAAAGTTTTATATTAAGAACACACGCTAAAATTATACACACATATATGATGTAAACAAATGAAAAGTTGTACATATGTATGCATAGCTACGGTCCACATTATATACTATTATACTTTAAAATACAGTGCATAATATCTGGAAGAGAATTTACCCACTTTTGAGCCCTTAATTTGAAGTATCTGCAACTGATTCCTGGTTGTATTTGCTCATCCATAAAGAGGGGAAGCTCATGGGCAGAAAAGAGCAAACAGAATCTGTGGAAAAGAAATTTTGGAGTTGGTTTTAATTCTATATCCAATTTATTAATGAGTGATGGACCTATAATAGCGATTCCATAAATAGTGGTGGAATTGAAATGAATTATATTGCTCATTGGACTACCAGTCTCCTGTCTTTATCTTTTGCACTTCCTTCTTTCCCTTTCCAATCTTCTTCTCCTCATTTCCAAATTCAGACCAGTACCTGATTTGAAACTGGAGTGGGGGGAGGGGGGAATCCTAAATTCTCTCCTTATGTTCTTTTTTCTTCTTCTCTTTCCTTCTTTTCTCTCCCTTTCCCTCCCTTCTCTCCTTTTTTCTTCCTTTCCCTTCCTTTCCTTTCCTTTCCTTTCCTTTCCTTTCCTTTCCTTTCCTTTCCTTTCCTTTCCTTTCTTTCCTTTCTTTCCTTTCTTTCCTTTCTTTCCTTTCTTTCTTTCCTTTCCTTTCAGAATTGGTGTTTGTGGATTCCCTATTCCTTTAAGAAAAAAAATACTGTACTTTGTCTTGATTAAGGAAAAGATGTCCATCCATGTCGATATGAGGACAAGGGGCAGGAGTGACTGCAGAACCTGTGCCAGACATGGATGCCAAGAAGGACCATGGAGCCAAGCAGAAAATGTAGTAAGAAATTAAAACAGAAGGGCCGTGGCAGCCACAGCTGTGAGCTCCTTCTAGATTAAGTGTTTTCCTTTACATTTTTTTTTCTGGCATTATAACTAATAAAACATGTTAATGTTTAGAAGGACAATTTTCCTAACTATTCAGGTGTGATCAGTGAAATGGACAATAATGTGCCTGAATTAAACACAAAGTTTTGCTAATGTAGAATGTGGCGTTTTAAAAGAGTTCCAGAGAGTTCCCAGAGAGGCCTTTCCCGAGTCCCAAGGGGAGTCACTTCTTATTCCTCAGTGGTCCGTGCGCCTGTGTTCAGGCTCTTCACACTGAGCTGTAGGGCAGTGGTTTATTTGCCTGTCTGCCCTATCTTACTGTAAGTTTCTTGAGGGTGCAAACCACGTCTCAGTTGATTTTGTGTTACTGTACTAGTACTTGAATGGCACCTGGCATATAGTTGCTACTGAAAAACTGCTTAGAGAATTAGCTAACATATTAATTAGGAATGAAAGACTCACAGAAAAATAAACGATGTAGATTCAAAGTAAAAAAAAAAATACAAATCATGCAAAGCTGTCTAAATTCCTGCACTTATATGTCATGTTTACCAACTAGCGTTCTAAATGAAACGATTTGGATGTGGAGGAAAATATAGCCATAGAATACATAACTATGTAGAAGAAGAAAGCTCGAGTTTAGGGTTGGGGATACAGTTCAGGGGTAGAGCGCTCACTGAGCCTGTGCAAAGCCCTGGGCTTGAGTCCTACCACTGGGGGGAAATAGGTCTGTGTGGGAAATGACTGTTACTTTTATTGAAATGCAAAGTAGTAATAAAATGTGAAAAGTAAAGTGAGACGATAAGTTGGAGCCCACTTTTGGAAGATACTTTGTCTGCAGATGAGGAGTTTAGAGTTTATTCTGTTGTTCGTTTGAAGTCACGCTTCCACAAAATATAATAAAAGTTTTAGATATTACTATGGAAATTGAGAGTATATCTAAAAGAAGTAGGAAGAAAAAAATAAATCATCTGTAGCCACGTTAAAAAGAGAAAAACTTTTTTTTTTTTTTTTTTTTTTGGTTTTTCTCCGGTACCGGGAATCGAACTCATGACCTTGCGCTTGCCAGGCAGGCGCTTTTGCCGCTGAGCTAAATCCCCAGCCCCGAGAAAAACTTTTAATACTATATTAACAATGTGGTTTGTGTGTGTGTGTGTGTGTGTGTGTGTGTGTGTGTGTGTGTGATTAGGATTGAACCCACTTCTGGAGCATGCTAGCGATCTACCACTGAACTACATTTTAAGCCTACTTTCTTCTGATTTTTTATGCCTATGTCTTATTTTTTAATATCATGCTGATTATGTGAATTTATAAAATTTCATCTATTTTTTCCAAATTCTAAATTTCATCAGCCAAAAAGAAGTCTTAATATATTCCATCTGATTATAGAATGAAACAAAACACGGGATTTTTTTTCACATGTATTTTTCACAGGTCACCTATGTCAATTTTTATGTCTATTTGTCCACAGAAACTTTCAAATGTTCTGTGTGGAAGGGGAAATGGTAAGGAGATTAGGAAATGATCATACATGATCATTAGGAAATGAACCTGGAGGGCTTAGTCTTTTTTTTCTTAATCTGTGAAAGCATAATGACTCAGGCTTTTCTGTTTCCTGTGTTTCTGTGTGAGCTCTCTCTCTTTTACATGTGCCCACCATGGTCCGATTTTCCATGTGACACAGCCCCAGGGCCCCTCAGCAGAGCTGAATGAATGCCAGCACCATTTCCTTGAGCTTCCAGAACTAAAGCTTGAAAAATAGCTCTGTTCCAGATGGTGGGACGAAAGCTAATTCTTTACAGAGAGAAAACACTCTAAGATTGTTAAATTAGTTTCAGAACTAACAGAAACACCAAGAAAAAGTGTTTCACTAAATTTGAAAAAAATACACTTTGATTACAATAAGCATTCCTCAAAGCAGCAAGGGGCATCCTGTAAGCTCAGCTGAAGAACAATGACAAGAGTGCATTTCTGTTAACACCACTCCAGAGTCTAAGAAAAAAAATCAATAGTTTCACAGTCTCCAGGTTGACCTTGAACTCGCTATCCTCCTGCCTCAGCCTACCAAGTGCTGAAATTACAAGACTTGTGCCACTATGCCTGGCTCACTAATAATTTGGAAAAGAAAGAACAGGAGGCTTGAAGTTATTCTTTACCTTTAAATCTTCAGTAAAAGTGTTGTTCTAACACAGCTACCTCTCCTCTAGGTGAAAGCATTGTATTTATATCCAATATTAAGTTATTTTCCCCACCATACAAGGTTTAAAATGGGGAGGGGAAGATCATCAATTAGAACTTTTGATTAGACTGGCTGGTGTTCCATGTCTAGTGCTATCCAGTGGTCCTCAAGTTAAGAAAATATAGGTATCATGTATTACCTTTCTGGAGACTTCTTGCTGGAATAAACTGGGACTCTTCTGAACTAGACTTTTTTTTTTTTTTCCGTTACTGGGAATTGAACTCACGACCTTGTGCTTGCCAGGCAGGCGCTGTGCCGCTGAGCTAAATCCCCAGCCCCTGGATTTTTAAAATGAGACCTTATTCCTACTTTTTGAAGGCCTTTCAATACTCCTCTAGCCGATTGTTTGCAAATGTGCTCACTGCAGCGTGTTAAAGTACAAACATGTGGGCATCACATAAATCCGCATTATTTGCTGTTCTCTGAGCTAGAACCAGTGAGTGTTAGGAAAAGGTAGATAATTACGCACTGTTTCTGAAGTGACTTAACAAAAGGTACAGACGAAGAAGTAGTGACCCGGCTTTCTTCTTCACAGTCCGCGGGAAGGTAGAACGCTGTTCAGCTGCATTAGTGGCAAGACATAAGGAATATATAGACTCTAGACACAACCTAGAAATCACCTGAACAGTGGACCGTAACATTTGGAAGAGCTGTTTCCATGCCATGACTTTCAGGTTGCCAGTGTAAAGACAGACTAGAGAAATAAAATCCTGAATTATATTTTAGTGATTGTTTGTAAGACAATGGGGGATGAAAACACGCCGTTGTTATTACAGAAAAAAAGGATAATGACTTGGATACCTCAGCACGAGTGGTAAAAATGTTGAAATCATCATTCACATTCCTTGGCACTAGCAATGGCTTTTATGTGCTTTTATGCAGAGAAGAGTATTTTGTAATATTCTTGGCCTAAATATTTCAAGTGTGCAAGACAACATAACATAATGATCTTGGTGCTGCTTCAAAAGACAGTGCGTTACATCTGATTGGAGAGTAAAAGATGTCGCTTGAGAGACATGTTTACGTCAGGATCGGTTATGAGAAGAGCAGTTATGAGAATTGCTATGGACCAGCCTTGTCTCGGGGCTGCACAACCCTCCTGACCAGCCATCTTTCACTCACAAAACTTACTGTGTCAAACTAATCGAGCAAAGCAGCTCTAGATAGCTTTTTGTAGCCTGACCTGTGCATTCTGTATTTGTTCCTCTTTAATCAGTTGATAATTTATGTAATTCTTTGCTTAAGGGTGGTTCTGCAATGAAATGAAGCGATTTCAGCAGTACAGTGAGCCTGGGTTTTGTTCACATCTCCTGTGTGAGATACCTTGCATGAGCATGAAACCCTAAGATCACGATCTTTCTGACTCCCCAAACCAACACACACCCAGTAGAAACACAGTTTTGGTATTTTCTAGTTCACAGGAAAATGCGCCCCAGGTTCTGTAGGAAGAAAAATATCTTTCTAGTTCTTTTGGATGAGCAGAACTTTTATAAGACAAATT